AGATGTCAATCTAGTTGGGATGTACTTATACTATAAATATTTTATAATAATAATTAGAAATACATTTAATTGTTATTTGTTTAAGTTAAATTTAATTTTGCAAAGTTATAAATAATTCACGTAACATTAAATTTGAATTCTATGTAAACATTTCTTGGTATAAATATGAATTTATCATTTTGTTCAATTCTTAGTTTACATTTTGACAAAAAAATATTTTTTTACTATAAATATGAAAAATTCTATATTTTTATAATTTTATTTATACAATAATATAGGTCAAATCGAAACAAATCGCGATTCGTGACCTGCATGGACTCGACCCGGATGGGTCAGCGGACGGGTCGGGTTATAGTCCAAAATTTGTGGGCCGACCCGGACCGGCCCGGAACCCGTAGCGGGAGGACTTTTTTTCACGCCCTGGCTCATATGTTGGCGGCCGACCCGGCCGGACCACCCGAATTGACACCTCTAACTATTCGGCAGTTTACTCCGATGCATCAAATCATTTCAAAACTTTGAATGGACTAAGCTTTAAAATCAGGATCTTATGCGTAGTACCAGGTAAACTAACAAACAAAACTGCAAGATTATCTTTATTTCCGTATCTAACCCGCGGACACCAGAATAAATAGTAACTTTTTCTATCGACACAATCTTCCTGGCCTCCAGCCCCTGACCATAAAACAAAAAAACACACACACATATACATATGAAACACATAATTTCTGTCCATTCACAGTCACAAGCATACATATACAAAAAGAAATTTTTATGCATTCAATAGCAAGCATACAGAATACAACACATTCTAACACAAAGTTCAAAACTTCTCAAGACCAAAAACCCCTAAATAATTTTCACATTCATATATCAATTCTCAAAACCCGTATCCATATGATTTTTTCCATTTCTTTTGAGTAATTACATAAACGGATGTCGGAATCAAGACCAAGATTCTGTTTTTTCACTCATTTCCTTCAAATGTAGCTATTATACCCGAGTCAATTAAGCACTCACCCACAAGAAAACAATTAGAAGATTAAATTCCTAAGTACACATAAAACCAACTTGCTTTTTTGCATCTAAAAATTAACAATTTCGGCTAAAACAAAACATCAATCAATTACTACAATTAATGAATAAACAAGTTTGAGAATTTTGAAAACCTTGATTTTTCTTCCATATCTGTACTTTATCTTCGGGGCAAAGCCTTGAGGAAGCCATTCCGGTAAATTCCCGTCAACCATTTGGCCGGAATCTAAATCTTCCTATTATAATCTTGAAGTTTTTCCCCCTTTTTGGGTCAGTCTGTTTTTCGAGAGCTGGCTCCACATTTTCTCTGTAGAGTGAGGACTGAGGTGTTAAATAGAACATTCGGACAAAAGGCTGCTTCATGGTACACGTGTCTATATATACACACACTACATTAACACGTATGCGTTGCCGTGGGGTTCGGGGTAATACAAAGGCACCACGTTTCTTCCCTTTCTAAAGAATAGAAGCTGCATGAGGTTTTAAAGCTTTCTCACAAAAGATAGAGTGAATTTTCAATTGGTACAGAAATTGTTTGATTAAAAAAAAAGTAAAAAATATGAAAAGTAAGTTGTATATTTTTTGACATGACGGCGGTGACAAACTTTATGTCGCAGAAGGAGAGGTAAAGTTATCTCTTTTATCAGGCAGATTGACTCGCAGTAAGAGAAATTTTAGCCCTCGTTTTAGCCTATTTTTTTGTGTATAATATATTTTGAAATAATATATTGATAAAAAATATGTGGTTAAAAATAAAGAATTTTTTTTTGAATTGTGTGTAATATTATTTTATTAAAAATGTGTGATTGTTGAAAAGAATAGAGAAATTTGTATTTTGAAAAAAATGGGGGTCAAACAATGTCTAAATTTTTAGAGAATATTTGGTTACAGAAAAAAATTGAGTTTACGTGCAAAATTATTTTATTTGGAGAATTCGTGGTCAAATAATTTCTTGTTTCAAGTTGTTTTCAATTTTTAATTTTGCAAAATGCTGAAAATATGTTCGGTATGATATTCCTGAAAATACATTTTTGAAAACAAAAATAAACTTATAACATAACTTAAAATATATTTTTGATATTTTGAGCGAGTTTATTGAATTTTTTGAAAACATTCAAATATTGAAAACTAGCGTTTAAATAAATTTTATTATTTTAAAAATATAAATATAAATTCTAACAAATAAAATTTAAAACTTTTTAAAAAATAACATTCAAAATAAATTCAAAAAAAAAAATTGATAATTTTTTTAAAAAAAAATCTAAAAAAAAAATCAAGATAAAAATTTCAAGAAAAATAAAAATTGTAAAAATAAAAAATATATATAGTTCAATCTCTTAATGATTATTTACATAAAAATTCTAAAAAAAAAAATTAATGAACACTAATGAAAATATTCTCGGTCCACGTCATTCAATTTATTATTTATTTTGCCCCTGTTTGAATCACATTAAAATTTTCATTCACATTCTTCTGCTCATTTTCAATAACACATTATTCAATAAAATAATAGTATCAATTACATCAATAACTTTTCCTTCTTTTTTAACGATACATTCTCCATCAATATTCTACTATTCCAAAATACATTCTTCCAAAATAATGTGGCTCAAACACACCCTTCACGGGCGGACCCAAGGGGGGGTCCTGGGGGGCAGGTGCCCCCCAACTTTTGATATTCATTTTTTTTTTAAATCACGTTTGTTATTGATTGAAATTTAAATTTTTATCTAAATCAAAGTTAACAATTAATTTTAATAACATATTTCATGAAATCCATAACTGTTTAACTTTTATCAAAATTTACTAAAAAATTGATTTTAATCTCCACCAAATAGGGGCAAAATCATAATAAATTTGAATT